TCCACATGATTATCATTGGTAAAATTTTGCGTTTTTTTTACGATCACGATTAAAAATAAATCAAAGTATCTAAGCTTTTAAAAAAATGCCACTTAAGAAAAATCTGGCACATTTCTTGGCATCTTTGGCCATGTCTTGACTGTGTACTTGAACATCAAGTATATTTCTTAAAACATATCTATAGCTTAGGTAATAAGGGTTTTACAGTAGGCATATAAAGAGTATTCATTATTGAAGTTCTTGTAGAATATACAATACCTGAACCTGAAGAAACTACATTGTTGAGGAAATGTAAGATTATTGTTGTTGTGCTATGTAAATATAGATTCTAGTTTCATAAATATTTCGATCTCTGCTTTTCTCGCTGTCCATATATATATATATAATATTCACAATGAAATGAAATCTTGTGAAGTGATAATTGTGATATTAAACCCGGTTGAGCTTATGAAGTAGTTCTTGAGATTTTGATGTTTTCGTTACAGAGTATATTGAAAACTTTTATTTCTGTAAGGAAATTTGTAATTCATTTATATGTAAAATATTTGAACTCGCTTTACCGTTCTTAAAGTTGATAAATAATTATATTATATTGACTATACATACGTTTACACTTATTGTTTTGTACTCATTTTTTAAAGTTTAATATCTGTATTAAAATAGTATTGATAAAGATTAAACTCAGAGTAGTCATTTATCAGGTAATACAAATTTTATCTCAGCACGTTCTTAGATGTATCTTTTGTTGCAGGACTTCCAAATGACCTGAAACTCTACTGGCAGCAATATCCATGGGTCTTTGGTGAAACAATTTGCAAATTACGCGCTCTGGTGGCAGAAATGACTAGTTATGCTTCAGTACTAACGATAGTGGCTTTCAGTACTGAGAGGTATATAGCTATCTGTTACCCGTTGTTTATTCAGACAGTTTCGTCGTTATCCAGAAGCGTCAAAATCATATCACTTGTATGGATTATAGCGTGTGTCAGTTCTATACCTTTTGCCGTCTTTACAAAAGTGAATTATGTTGAATATCCAAAAGGATCAGGAATCCTTCTTAGAGAATCAGCCTTCTGTTCACTTCCTATGGAGAATCATGACATCAGTCTTCCCTTACTACAATTTGCAACTTTTGCATTTTTCTGGTTGCCCATGACGTTAATTATAATACTGTATGTTAAAATTGGTCTGACTTTACGCCATTCATCACGTGCGCCTTCTGACGGCTCGATGATTGGTTCGCCATCTTCTGGAAACAGCAGACATTGCCAAGTTCGAAGGTCGATCAACAAGATGTTAGGTATATTAATATGTTAGCTTTTCTAAAATCAGCCAAACCATAAGAACTTTGGTAGCTAAACTTCTCTAAAATCTTTCATCTGGTTTAATATTTTTTCTCATATAATAGAAGTTATTTTATTAAGTTCTGGTGCTTTAAAAACATAAGAAAGACGATTTTAGAACATTTCAAGTATTTCATTATTCACCATATTTCTAATATAATAAAGTTCGAAAAAATAGAATATAATTGACGTGTTCATTCGATTAAATTACATTTTCCCTACGTAAGATAGAGTTCTATCTTTCTAGTAAACGGAGTTTTATATCAAAACGTTTTTCTACGAGGTACGATGTGTACTTTCTGTGTGAAAGTATTTACAAGAGTCTAATTAGACCTAATCGTCACACTTTCCTACCAGTGATCAAAACGTTATATTGACCCTCAAGGTGAGTATAACTTGGTTTTTCTCTCAAAAAGTTAAACACATCTCTAGGATGTTAAAGGCAAACTCTAATATACTCATCTATATGTAATAAAACGGCGTGTCTGTGGGTCTGTGTGAATTCCATAGCTCCAAGAGGAAAGAACCCAGAAACCTAATATTTTGCACCCATACTAAGTGGAACCTGAGGGTGTGCACTTGGGTATTATTACTTATTTTATTCAGGTGCGTGCGCGCATGTGCATCTTTTTAATAAGGCAAGCTAGCGAAAAACCACATAGAAAAGAAGTGGTCCTTATATTACAAATAGAAATCACAGACAGATAGACAGACACGCACGTGCGCACGCACGTGTCTGTGTGAGTGTGACCGCTATAGCTCCAAGAGGAAATAACCTAGAAACCTGAAGTTTGCACCGATACTAAGTGGACCCTGAGGGTGTGCACCTGAGTATTAATTATATTATCCACGTGCGTGCGCGTATCCTCTTAATGAGGTAAGCCAGCAAAAACCACATAGAAAAGAAGTGATATAGAAAAGCCAGTGCTTTTGTAACAATGGGTTCCAGCAATTGCTTTTATGTCATATTGCTTAACAACAAAAATATATAGGGGAAACGTTTATGCTAAAATGGATTCAGAATACATACACTATCAACCTAATAACTCGAGCGAAGCCGAGTACTTATAGTACCTAGTATAATACGCTAGTATATGTATATAATTTACTTATTAACACCTTTTAGATAATATTTCATCCAGCTGAGTTCCTTATATTTGAAGGTTTAAACTACGCAAAAAAGAACTTTAAAACTAATTGTATCTAAGGAACTTACACGTTTCTGTACAAAGAACATTAACATTTATAATCTGAAATAAAGATTACTACTTTTATTAAACTTTAAAAGGTATTAAAAAGTTTAAATTGCATCAATATCTTTGTCTAATAAAATGTTTTCACACTTTCATAAATACACTTATATGGTTCAAATGTAAACTTGAGTACAAAGACATACTTAAATAAACTGTTTGCGAGTACAAGCTAACTTAACAAAGCAATCACTTTTCCTTTAATAAAAAGAAATGATAAATGACTTCATGAAGTTTAGCGTTAAATCTGATCATTTTGTCTACAGGCTCAATTAATGGTCCTTGAAACGATATTTACGTTGAACGTTTAGTTAATGACTAATCTAAGTATCACACGATTTGTTATACGAATGAATGATTATATCCCATTGAATCTAAAAAAAATTCATTGTAAAACGTAATTTACGAAATTACTCCAGTGTTTTCACAGATGCTTTTGAGGGTAGTGATATACAAATTAGAACTGTTTTAGTGCATATTTTACAATAATGTGCAAATCTGCAGTTTAAATTCAAACAGTCCATGGATAAATGAAAAGTTCCGTTTTAATGTTGCGCATGCTCTACGTACTTCATTTTATATTTATGTAATTAATTTGTGATTTCACATATACAACATTTTAGATCAAATCCCTCGAGTAGATATTTCACATTTTTAACCTGAACAGAAATTTGAGAAACTTGTGGACTATACAGAGATTTCAACTTTTAGCTTAGTTACTCAGCAGTACCCGCCGCCTACCCGGCCTCTCTACCTTAAACGAATAGCAGAACTGACTATTACAATTTGAGCGCCCTCACAACTAAGAGTGCGGAGCGTGTTCAGCAGCATATCGCAACTCGAACCTTAGGCCTTGTTTTCCACAAGCACTTTTTATATGAAAACGTTTTATATGGAAGTATTTTAATATTGAAACTTACTTTTTTAAAGATATTGAAATGTTTGTATTCTTAGAGTCACATTTTAGTGGGCCCAGCATGGCCAGGTGGTTAGGGCACTCGACTCGCAATCTGCGGGTCGCGGATTCGAATCCCCGTCACACCAAACATGCTCGCCCATTCAGCCGTGGGGGCGTTATAATGTGACGGTCAATCCCACTATTCGTTGGTAAAGGAGTATCCCAAGAGTTGGCGGTGGGTGGTGATGGCTAGCTGCCTTTACTCTAGTCTTACACTGCTAAATTAGGGACGGCTAGCGCAGATAGCCCTCGTGTAGCTTGCGCGAAATTCAAAACAAACAAACACATTTTAGTTTCAGAGAGTCAATAAAAGTTATTCTTAAAATATTAATAAGTTACACATGTCTATTTTATAAGCATCTAAGATTTGATAATTGCAAAATTTCAGTTGAATCTAAAAAACGTAGACTTGTTTTGTCAAATCCAAAACGTTAGAAATGTAGATATGCTTAATGAAAGTAGAAAGTAAAAACAATAAAATATTTTAATTTTATTTCTGGAAGTCGTACTAGCAGATGTATTGCATTGCGTCATTCTCCTGTGTGTTTTGATGTGGATCTTTCTGCATAGATTAAAATAATTAATGTTGTTTTTGTATTACTAATAGTTGCTGTTGTCATCGCTTTCTTTCTCTGTTGGGCACCTTTTCATGCACAGCGCCTCCTGGTGGTGTATGTGCACCCTCAACAATGGACGGTGAATTTAAGAACTCTTAATGAAGTACTATATTATCTTGCAGGTAGGATCACGAATATAAAAACAGTTTAAAAAAGATTGTTTTGGTGTTTTATTTATTGATTTCTAGATTTTTAATTTCTGAATGAATAACAGTTGAGAAAAAGCATCTACAATTTAAATTTTCAAAAGCTTTCTTTTGACTTAACTATTATGATATGTATTTTGTTCACTATTATTGTTTGCTAGGTTGTCTCTATTACTTCAGCGCCACCATCAACCCTATCCTTTACTCTCTGATGTCTGCCAAGTACAGAGAAGCCTTTAAAAGGGCTCTGTGTTCACTTCCACGTTCTAAACAACATCGAGGTAGTATGCAACAGCGTGACACTCCTGGACAGTTCGACAGTTCATTGCGCCGCAATCCAGGTTCGTTTTCTTCAAAAAAGAAAAATCAAATTGCATTGGAGTATAAGGGTTCCATTCCATTGGAGCATCTTGTCACCACAGGAATCAAATGATGGTTTGATGTCAGATTTCCCTCCCAGACAGAGAAGAAACTGTGGACGAACGAACACGCTAGATGTTTACTGAGACATCTTTAAGCTATGGTCGGACGCCCAACAACGTTTCCAACAGCAAGTAACTTTCCAAGGCACTGGAAAGAGGCAAATAATATAAGAAAAAAGAAGATTCCCAGGAAAGTAAAAAAAAATGTAATAATTGTGGTATTCTACATTTTGTTGCAGATAATCAATATTTCCTCCAAATTTGGAAGGCAGAGGTCACTCAGTCACCATTTTGTGTATAAAGATACGTCTGATTAAGTACTGTTCGATATCAGAAATATATATATGTTTAAACATTTTGCCTAAACAATGTTTCTTTTACAATTACGTTCTCCTTTAATAATTAATTTATTCTAATTAAAAACTACACATTAGGACTTCATTCCGTGTTTTTATTATATATAGCTGTATATGTATTTATGTCGACAAGTAAATTTCTAGTCTTCGTCTCTTCAAAAAACAAAAAATCTGACAAAACGCCATTTTTAGAGTCAGCCATGTTTAAAATAATGCCAAATATCTGACCTAAAATACGCTTTATCTCTAGGTATAAGAGCTAGTGATTTTAGTCATTTCAATGGACATAATAATTTAGTGTTATTATATTATTTTGCTGCGACTTTACAGCAAATATAGTAAATGTTTGAATTCAGTTTCTTTCACGTCATTTGGCCTTTTATTTTAACTCAACTGACAAAGACATTTATTTGTGTTTGGCTTGCGCGTGACTTCTATGCACGTATATATGCCTCTCCCTAGTGTAGCCTAACGATCTATATTGCTTGATAAACTTGCACACAGTGTTCCTGTAAGTCACGTTAAAAAACAGCGATAAGACATTTGACAGCTGGAGCTCTCTAGCTGCTGCCTTTCCTCTGATTATAAGATATGTCCCTGTGGAAGCGATTGAATTTTTATCTGTTTTTGAATGAAATTTAGCATTTTTTTTAATTCCTTGAAGCTGTGTGTATTTTATTATAAATTAAATTTTATGTAATCCGTATTGTTGCAAATCTCTTACATTTTCTGTGAAGAATAAAGTAATTAAAACACCAGTAGTTTGTCAATCAAATACACACACGCACACCAATGTTGTTAAACGCAGAGCTGAACAATGGCTAATCTATGTAATGGCCACTGCGGGTATTGAAACCCGAATGTTAGCGTTATAAGCCCCCAGATTTACCTTTGAGCCACTGAGAAGCGCAACATTATTACTCAGAATTATAGATTAAAGTTATAAAATAACAAATCTATGCTGTAGTACGACGAAATTTAATCAATTAAAAAAACGTAAACAATGTTAAGTTATATAAAAATATTTCTTATTGCTTTAGAATACTAGAGAAATTTTACATGAGCGATTAGTTTACTTAATTATAATATATACAAAATTTATATGAAAAAATGGAAATGTGAATGAATAAAACTAAATCTATAAATAATGTTTAGACATTTATAATAATAATTGTGTTTAACTTCAATGATTGGAATAAAGTGACTGAAATACTACGATGAAAGGAAGTACTCTGTAGTAATTAAAAGTAGAATTGATAAATCGGATAAACAGAGTAAAATTTAATGAAAGTACAACGTTTCACCAGGTTAACCTGGCATCATCATGACAAGAATCATTTTAAATCCCTGAGCCGTGAAAAGAAACTACGCTCATTTATATTACAACTAAAAAAGTCCAAGTCTCTTACTGATCTGCTATATAATTTTCTCAGACCATCTGACTCACATACTCCACAAATCTACTGCCTTCCCAAGGTTCATAAACCTAATTATCCTCTAAGACCTATTGTATCAGCCTTTGGGGCATTCAGTTTCAACTTAGGCAAATATCCAGCGTGGATATTTTCTCCTTATGTCAACAGTGCCTCGTCTTTTATAAAAAACTCCGAAGAATTTGTCAACAAACTGAAATATTTCGACCCACTTTCCGTTCTTGTCGGTTTTGATGTAAAAACTGATTTATACAAGTACCTGTTTCTGAAGCCATCAGCCATGCTCTTGAATGTTTCAATAACGATCCCTCTCCAAGATGTTTACTCTCTTCTGAAATTTTGAAAAACTGTCTATATTTCACAACTTCCTGTAACAACTTTCAATTTGTAAGGCCTCAATTACAATCAAATAGAGTGATTAAGCATGATAAATCCTATTGGCCCCGTTGTCACAAACATTTTTATGATTAGAATTGAACACCAAGCTATTTCAACTTTCCTTCATCCACCTATTTTCTGGGTAAGATATGTGGATGATATTTTTACTGGATTCCAGGATTCATCATCCATTGAAAAGGTTTTACCACACCTGAACCTAATCCGTCCTGATATTCAATTTACGATGGAATGTGAAGAAAATCACACACTTCCTTTCCTGAATGCTCTTTTCAAAAGACAGGACGAAACTTTCCACACCTCCACTTATCACAAAATCACTCATACTGGCTTACACGTACCCTGGAACTCTTACCACGATCCTTCACAAAAATTATGCATAATAAGAACTCTCTATCATTCAATGAAGACAATTTGCTACATCAACGAACATTTACAGTCGGATCTCAAAGTGCTGAAAAATGAATTAACAGTCCAGAACGATTTCCCGGTACAATCCGTAAACAAGGTCATCTCAACGCTAAAAAAGAAAACATCTGAAGCCCACGACAGGTCAGTTATAGAGGAACATCCCATTTATTGCATAATTCCCTTCATCCCAAAAGCTTCACATTGCATCAGAATGTATTGGAAAAAAAAATGTGAAAAAATATGATATTAATTTACCGGTACAATTTGTGTTTCTTCCCGGCAAAAAATTAGATAACATTTTATCAAAAAATACAAAGATACTGATACCTCCTGTTCCGTATACCAAATAAAGAGTGAAAATTGTGACGAAACTTACATTGGAGAAACCTACATGCAAGTACCCACCCGAGTTAAAGAACATTACAAACCGCCTTCTCATGTCCATGAACATATATCTAAATATGGTCTTTCATTTCATCTTGATAATGTTAAAATTCTTAGCAGAGAAAAAAAATATAAACCGTCGTAAAATTAAGGAAGCCTTGCTTATAAAACAGTTTATGCCTAAAATAAATAAGTATTCTGGCACACAGTTGTATCTATTCTAACTTTAACTTAAGTATGTTGATGTTCAAAAAGGTTTTTTTATATTATTTTCTGTGAATCACTTTACCTCAATTTACAATTTTCCAGTTATAGTATTTAATTTATACATTTTGTTGTTATAATATTTTATATTTTTGAAAGAGTACTTATATTCTCCTATTTTGTTGATTACGGACATTGACCCTCAAGAAGTCAAGCCCTATCAATAAACACCCTCCGGAAATATCACACCTAACTGTTAAATTTACCCAATCAAAGTTCAATGTACCCTTGTATTATTATATATATATATTTGTTGTTTCAATGCATTCATTGTAGTTGATGTACCTGATGATGCCTGGTTAACCTGGTGAAACATTGTACTTTCATTAAATTTTACTCTGTTTATCCGATTTATCAAATTTACTTTTAAAGTGACTGAAAAAGTTATTGAAATATATTGTTGTTGTTTTCTTATTATTATTGAATGGGATGGTTGTTCTGCATAGAATGTGTTCCATTGAATCACCATTATCTTAACGGACTTACAACGCTAAAATCCGGTGTTCAATTCCCCGCAATGGACAGAGAGCAGATAGCCAATGTGTTGCTTTGCGCGAAAACAGTAATCTCTCTTTACCAGTTAAACTGGCGCAAAGTAATTATGTTAAAGTCGTTATCGCTTGAAACATATGACATTTCAAAAGAATGAACCAGGAATTTAGCTAAGTTTTAACGATTCTCTGGGTAATATGTGATTGAAAGACGTGGTTTAAATTACTATTGGGAACTTTAAACAATATTTATATTTTAATGTGTATATGCAAAATGACTCACCATATTTCAGTGATAACAATCTAATCTGGACTTGCAGTAGATTATGCTTTTCATCGAGGTAACTGTTTTAAATGTTCATAAGATCTTCTTTAGTTGTTCATTCCAACAAATGCGCTTACATTGTTTGTGGTTTTCTACAAATGCACCTAAAACATATAATAAAAATTCTGACAATAATTTTGTTTTTAAAAGCTAGTTAAACACCATGAAAGTACATCTCGGACCTTCTATTATCCCTGACTCTTCCAAACACTTCACAATCAGATCACGACATTTATACTACCAGTGGGCAGTAACAAGATCTACCTGATCCTGGAAATTTGTTTGTTTCTTTGTTTTTGTCTCTGGCATTCTACTTGATAAGAAAGTTT